TGTTTATTCTTTTCAGCGTTTAGGGGTAAATCAGAAAATCTTGTAACAGTTTGACCCATGCAGGACTTTGTTAAAAAAAAAAAACTCTTTACTATACAAATATACAGTAAGAACTTCATTTCGTACACTTCTGTAAAAAGAGGCGAAAGATACCAATGGGACCCCCAAACTCATAAGTAGAAAATAAACTGACAACAGTACACAAAACACTACACAGAAAACTAAGGACTGAGCAACACGAACCAATTCTTCTCATAACAAATCTTACAAATAAAATTAATCGTAAGTGCACTGAAATGATCATGAATTACAAAAATCTTTTCGATATTTTGTGCAATTGATCGTGTACAAAATGCACTTGTGTGTGCTCGCTAATGTTATATTTGTTTAACTTTCAATAATTTTGTACTTGAGCGTACAACAAATGTACAAATTGTATCTGATAATATTTTGATCAGATACTGCATGTATGATGTTCTTTTTATTTGAATGTTTGTTTGTTTTGTTTTTTGTTTTTTTTTTTTTATTACATGTAAATTGTAATGTTATTTATAGATAAGTGCTTTTCCTGTTACTTATAATTGATTGCGCGTTCTATTATTGAGCTTTTGCTGTTAAACCCAAAGAGTTTTAAAGGATTATTCAATTGTTATACAAACAAGTGGTAGGATTGCCAATGAATCAACTATTCACCAGAGACCAACGGATATAAACATCTGTAGGTCATCTACGGCCTTCAATAATGAACAAAACCAAAACAGTTGATAGAAAGCACAAAGAGCCCCGATATGACAAAGTGTGAAACAATTGTAATAAGAAAACCAACGGCGATTTAAGCTTAAAGCTACGAACGAATAACAAATATAACAAAAGCAACCAACGACAACTATTGAATTAAAGGTTCCTGTATTGGGAATATATGTGACAGAGTTAAACATCATGATTGTGAACGATCACCCTCCCCCCCCCCCCACCTTTCCCCTCCAACCTAACCTGGGACAGAAGTGAAAGAGCACACTACAAGAGCAATTATAAAAACTAGCTGAAAAAGACTCGAATCATCAGATCCGCACGGAGCACAAACATGTTTTCTTAACGTACAATGGAAGATATCTCATGAATCCATTCTCAATAAATCCAAAATGTAGGCTTGAAAAGGATACTCACATCCCCATTTTTTCATATACAATAATAGTACATTTACTTAAAATAATAACGATATAAGTATAAGGCTTAGAAAAAAAAAATGAAAGGAACAGTATAATTTGAATGCGTTCGAAGCGTGATTTTGGATTTACCTTCATCAAGAACACCCAAAGAAAAAAAAAATGAAAGTCAAGGATGTATAATTATAAAATGCGAGGCTCTTAATTCCGAGCATATTATCATTTTCGTGCCGAATACCTTAGTTTGTCAATACAATATAATTGTCTTTATACTACAATCTAAACAGTTAAATACCCATTTTAATATCTTTCAAACTGCATCTAGTTACTTTTTACCTTAGAAAAGACCCCTGTCTCTGGCTGAGTTTATTGTTACGTTTAAAAATGTTTGTTTGTCGTTAAACGCCTACAGTCTAGCGATTTCATAATAGAAACAATGTCAACAATACAATCATAATGAACGTAATAATTTATATAAATTTACCAACAAATGAACAATTATATTAGATTAGTCATTTTTGTTTTAATTTTTGAAGGATGTCGTCTGCTATTTTTCATACTGATGAAGGGTGTTCCAGAACCACGTGATGTGTACACGTAAATCATACCCCATGTCTTTTTTTCAGAAGAAAAACAATTAATCATAGAAATAACATACAAAATAATCGGATTATCGTGATAATATTTTGTGTTTTGTAATTTCCAGACTATAAGGAATTTATGAAATTTGCATTCGTTACGACTCAACGTAAACGTTCAGATTCATATAAAACATTTCATTTTATCGTTACAAAATCAAATTGATGGCACAATCAAGTAAGAAATGTACAATCTTAACCGGTACAGAACATACATTTGATACATTTACATGTGTATTTAGGTATATTGTATACTCTATATCAAATGTATTAGTTCATCCTTTTGTTTGAAATTTAATCTGTTTAGATCTGTCTGTTTCTATGGAAACTCCTTTAAGTATTTCTTCTGATAATTCTCTTATTTCTACCATGAGACAAAATATTTTCAAGAGAAATGTCAAAATAGTTTAAATCATTACTTTTAGATGATGTTTCTAAATTCACACTAAATTGGAAAAACAGAGTTATCTTTCCTTATACCGACACCCTAATCTCGGAATGAATTAGATCTATATGTATAAAAAAATATTTGCTGGCTTCCGAATATTTCTTGTGGAAGAGGTACATGTAGATGTAGTTATCTTATGTCTTGATTATTAGACATGATTATTGAAATGTGGCTATATAGTAGATAGATACATGTACATGCAGGTCATATATCATGAAGGACACTTTAAAGGTCATTATTGCTTCAACTCGAAACCTGGAGATATATAGAGAAAATAGCAAATGGTGGAAAACTTTTGCGACATTGTTCGTAAACTTACAATTCATATAAAAGAAGTCCTTGTTTTTGTATATATTTATAGTCTTTAACACCGACAGAGAGAGAGAGAGAGAAAGATAAAGTCAGACTATTTATGTTCCGCCCTCACTTGTATAGCATCACTTATATCATATCACGTATACTAACCCAACTTAGTACAAGCACAAAATGAATTGGAGTTAAGTAAATTTTACGTGCGCACGAACCCATCCTCACCCCTTTCGCTTACCTAGACCATATGTTATTAAAGCACAGTCCAGGAACACTAACTTGACAACGGAAAAAATAAGACTGTGACTTTCGTTGGACAGTGGGGTCAAAATATGCTCTCTACTTCAGGAAGATAGGTAAGGTAGACACTATTGGTTGAAAATATCCGTTCAGGAAAAAGCAAAAACTAAAAATTGGAAACAATACTCCTAAGTTTAGATAAAGTTTACATTTCATGTCAAACTGAATCGTTAGAAATTTATGATTCAAAGTATAATAGTTTCGTGATTTTAGTTCCGTAAAAACAAATCCTTATGCTGACAAATGGGATACTCAGCTAGGTATTAGAACACTTGGAAAATTTAATTAGCTCCTGATGAAGCCTTTGAAATATGGTTTTAAGTTCCCATTTATTTCAATCCTATACTTAAAGATTTTCTTTCTGCAAATCCAGCATCTAAAACTTTCAGGAAAGCTAACATTACAGTATGCATCGATACAAATTTCCTAAAAACTGTTCTAAAGGACAAAATGATGTCGCAAAATTCAATGACATGTAGAATTACACAAATAGTGACTTGCAATTTTAATTGCATCCTATACCCGGTAATTCTATCAAGTATTGCATCATATACCCGGTAATTTTATCAAGTATTGTATCCTTCACCAGGTAATTTTATCAAGTATTGTATCCTTTACCTGGTAATTCTATCAAGTATTGCATCCTATACCCGGTAATTCTATCAATTATTACATTATATACCAGGTAATTCTATCAAGTATTGCATCTTATACCCGGTAATACTATCAAGTATTACATTGTATACCCGGTAATTCTATCAAGTATTACATTGTATACCCACTAATTCTATCAAGTATTGCATTCAGCAAATAGAAGCTACCAAACAACAATGCAGCTTTTTTATATTTTGAGACATTTACTTTTTAAAATTAGTTGTTTCAAAAGTCTCATTTTCAACAAAAAAAAATAATAAAATTCTGATCGCATTAGTGAATATTATATAACAATAAGAAGACATGTGGTATAATTGCCAATGAGACAAATCTCCACCAGAGACCAAATGACGTAGAAGTTAACAACTATTGAAACATGTTCAAAGCTCTTACAAATGAATGTTCCGAATGATCTTAATCACTAATTTCCACCTTTTTAAGTTGGTCATTTTTCTTTTTTTTTGATGAATGTTATCAATCTTTTCATAAACATTTAAAGAATAAGCAACGGCTTAAGACCTTCTAGGGCCTCTCTTATACACAAAATGTGGCGTTTGCCAGAATTGTCCAGACGATAGATTTAACAGGTGTGCGCTCGAGATGATAACATTATTTCTCGGGTTATCAAGGCATACGTTAGACTTTTAAACTGTTAAGTTAGATAGTACAAATATTAAAAAATATCGTTTGCATTTTTTTTTTCTAAAGTCGATTACTGTTACGGAAGAAAAATAGAAAAAGAAAAAAATACAATATGCTTGAAGATGTTTTATGAATTTATGTAGGTACCAGTCATTTGTTATGGTATGAATGTTATGTTTCCATTTTTGTAAATTGGAAACATGTAAAATTAATATTAGTTAATAATGTTATGCAATGGAACTACATTGTATCACTCTTATTCTTTCTGAGAGCTGTTGGAATGCGTCTCTTCATGGTATCGTATGCAATTCTGATATTTAAACCTTTTTTAATCGTTGTTTCAACACAGACTTGTATAGCTGACTTGGTCGTGTAATATGAATGATACATAATATGTACAAAATCCTTTTAATATAAAGATAAAAACGGTCGAAACTTTTGTCGGTGCAAGTATTTCCAGGTATCAATTCTGCATATTATTAATATCAATAATATACGAGTATGTTGATTTTTATAACCAAAGAAGGCGACACACATATATCATCTTATACATCTCATTGTTTAAAATAAACTAACAACTTGTCTAACTTGAATGCACGTGAGTGTGTGCATAAATAAGACTGAAATTGTTGACTTTATACATTCTTGTCTCGAAATATATGGAAACCAGTTAAATTGTTTGTCTAGTTGGGTTAACATGTTTCATCATAGAATTACAATACTTCAATATCATAAAGATACCAAAACCAAGTACATTCATACAATAACTGGTATTTGAAATGTCAATGTATCAATCATTCTGATAATTGTTCATAGAAATTTGTAATTAAACTTTTTGCTTACCTCTTGGTCTGACCATCCTAATAATCCAAACGTGAAAACAATTTTGTAAAATGACCTCATAAAAAAGTCAATACTAACGAAAACACCTGGATTACCATGGCAACTAATTCCATATCATTTAATTATGCGACACGTGAAAATGAAGTACAAATTTTAAAAATTGATACTTAATGTAATAATCATAATTATCATGCGACGTACACCAAACATAATTCAGTCAATTAAATCTTCGATTTCAGCAAAACTCTGATTTACAAACATATTACACTTTGAATGTAATCTTTCGAAATCATCAGGTTAAAAATAACTTAAATATCGATAATTGAACACGAATGATTAATAAGTGCTTAATTGCTGAGCTTGATTCTCATAGGGAAATTTTATTAAATTCATCCAGTGGTGTAAATCCATATTTGGTTTATTGTTCTTCGGCGTAAAAGATTAACATGATATTTTCATAAAAAAAAAAGCCATAGTAAATGAAGCATATTCTATAAATATAATAAACAAATTGTTTATCTAAAAATACAGATGTAAAAGAACCTCTTTCAAAAATAATAAGTAACACATCACTGTACAACTACATGTAGATGCCTTTTGATTTTGTGGTGGCTAAGCTGATGTCTAATTGACGTACACATGTATACACTGAAATGCTCTTATTCAGGATCAAATAGTATATCAGATATCAGCGATAGAAAATGAAAAGGCACTGCTAATGAGAATGTGTGCGCCAAGCTTTTTCACTAGTCGATCCATTATTCACTTATTATGGAAATATAACAACAGTAAAAGAGAGGCGAAATATACCAGAGGGACATTCGATCTCGTAAGTCGAAAATAAACTGACAACGCCATGTCTAAAATAGAAAACGACCAACAGACAAACAATAGCACACAAAACACAACATAGAAAACTAAAGACTGAGCAACACGAATCCCATCAAAAACTGGGGGTGATCTCAGGTGCTCCGGAAGGGTAAGCAGATGAATTAACATCAATGCAGCCCCAAACGAATTACAATTATGTATAAGAGGGCAATTATAATGTATTAATTGCATTGAAAGTTTATATTGTTTTCAATATCTACACAGCAATCCAAAAGTTTGATAAATTAACGTTATTTTTTTTCCATTCAATTCTGTTAATATTATGTATAAAAGAGAAGAGAAAGATACCAAAGGGACATTCAAACTCACAAGTCGAAAATAAAGTAACAACACCATGGGAAAAAACTAAAAAGACCAAAACACAACATATAATTTTGTAATTAATCGCCAATGAGTTCAAAAATGTTTAGGGGAGGTTTTGGAAAATACGACTGCAATCGGAAATTAAATCTGATATATAAAATTGAGAATGGAAATGGGGAATGTGTCAAAGAGACAACAACCCGACCATAGAGCAGACAACAGCCGAAGGCCACCAATGGGTCTTCAATGCAGCGAGAAACTCCCGCACCCGGAGGCGTCCTCAAATTATACACAGGAAACTATGTTTGCTATGAATTCCTTATTCCTTAGGATTTGTTTTTGTTTTTATTCTTTGTCTCTTTCTGAATTTTATTTATTATATTCTTTATCGTATAAAAAAGTAATATGGTCATTCAATTGAATACTATCTCGATGTTAGACATTATTGGTTTCAGTGAAAGATATTATTTAGAACAATTGTTTTGAGTCGCATACAGTATTTAAATGATCATTTGAAATCAAAGATGGATGGATGACCTTCTTGTAGCACTTAGAAAGACCATTCAGCTCATATGTCTAGGACATGTATATAATTGATGTTTATATTAGAGAATAATTAATTAACAATGCGCATATCAACGCATACCGTTTGCATGATATTCAACGGTCAGGAATATGGCCGAAAAACTACCGATTGACGTTCAAAATGTACTCTCTGCAAATTAATAAATCGAAAATTTCAAAGTAGAAATGTCGACATACGAGCCAAATTAATAATTCAAAGGAATAATTTGCAAACGCTGAACACCGATTATTTGTAGCAAATCCAGATAAAATCACAAAATATTTTATGACGTATCATGTTTGTTCATAGGTCATTCCTCTCATGGCTCCAGCTTCACTACTAATGTGTCGTACTAGTTCATGAGTTATTTGTTGAAACCCACTTAGAAGAGTTTTCCACTGAATAAGTGTCAATAAAATAAAAATTAAAACAAAAAAAAACAAAAAAAACAAGAGAATGGGCGGGAGATTACACAAGCTGACCTTGTTATCGTTTAACAATCTAATGAACAACTGCATACCACAACAGTTTTTCTCAATTGTATAAGCGTTTCTGAAAGCCGATTTCTTACACTTGTATAAGAGTTTCATGTAGTTTATTACTTATGCATGTCGTGTGTTATATAAAATGCTATGTGTCTTATATAAAATGGTATGTGCGTTATATAAAATGGTACATGTATGTGTTTAATATATAATGGTATGTGTGTTTTTTTAAATGGTACATGTACATGTATGTGTTTTATATAAAACGGTATGTGTGTTATATAAAGAGGTACATATATGTGTTTTATAAAAAATGGTATGTGTCTTATATAGAATAGCACATGTATGTGTTTTATATAAAACGGTATGTGTGTTATATAAAGTGAAACATGTATGTGTGAAATATAAAATGGTATGTGTGTTATATAAAATGGTACATGTATGTGTATTATATACAATGATATGTGTGTTATATAAAATGGTACATGTATGTGTTTTATATTAAATGGTATGTGTGTTATATACAATGGTACATGTATGTGTTTTATATTAAATGGTATGTGTGTTATATAAAGAAGTATGTGTGTTATATAAAAAAGGTATGTGTGTTATATATAAAATGGTATGTGTGTTATACAAAATGGTATGTGTGTTATATAAAACGGTATGCGTGTTATATAAAATGGTATGTGTGTAATATAAAATTGTATTGTGTTATATACTAATTGGTATGTGTGTTATATAAAATGGTCTGTGTTTTATATACAATGGTATGTGTGTTACATAAAATGGTATGTGTGCTAAATAAAATGGTATGTATTATATATATAAAATGGTATGTGTGTTATATATACAATGGTACATGTATGTGTTTTATATTAAATGGTATGTGTGTTATATGAAATGGAATGTGTGCTATATAAAATGGTATATGTGTTATATAAAGAAGTATGTGTTTTATATTAAATGGTATGTGTGTTATATAAAGATGTACGTGTCTTATATAAAATGATATGCGTGTTATATAAAATGGTATGTGTGTTATATAAGGAAGTATGTGTGTTATATAAAATGATATGTGTGTTATATATAAAATGGTATGTGTGTAATATAAAAAGGTATGTGTGTTATATACAAAATGGTATGTGTGTTATATAAAATGGTATGTGTCTTTATAAAATGATATGCGTGTTATATAAAATGGTATGTGTGTAATATAAAATTGTATTGTGTTATATATAAAATGGTATATGTGTTATATAAAGAAGTATGTGTTTTATATCAAATGGTATGCGTGTTATATAAAATGGTATGTGTGTTATATAAAGAAGTACGTGTGTTATATAAAATGGTATGCGTGTTATATAAAGTGGTATGTGTGTTATATAAAGAAGTATGTGTGTTGTATAAAATGGTATGTGTATTATATAAAATGGTATGTGTGTTATATAAAATGGTATGTGTTATATATAAAATGGTATGTGTGTAATATAAAAAGGTATGTGTGTTAAATATAAATGGTATGTGTGTTATATAAACTGGTCTGTGTTTTATATACAATGGTATATGTGTTATATAAAATGGTATGTGTGCTAAATAAAATGGTATGTATTATATATATAAAATGGTATGTATGTTATATAAAATGGTACATGTATGTGTTTTATATTTAATGGTATGTGTGTTATATAAAATGGTATATGTACGTGTTTTATATTAAATGATATGTGTGTTATATAAAATGGTTTGTGTGTTTTATAAAATAGTATGTGTGTTATGTAAAGTGGTATGTGTGTTATATAAAATGGTATGTGTGTTATATATAAAATGGTATATGTGTTATATTAAATGGTATGTGTGTTATATAAAATGGTATGTGATTTTATATAAAATGGTATGCGTGTTATAAAAAATGGTATGTGTTTAATATTAAATGGTGTGTTTAATATTAAATGGTATGTGTTTTATATTAAATGGTATGTATGTTATATAAAATGGTACATTTATGTGTTTAATATTAAATGGTATGTGTGTTATATACAGTGGTATGTACGTTATATAAAGTGGTACATGTATGTGTTTTATATAAAATGGTATGTTTTTATATAAAATGGTATTTGTGTTATAAAGTGGTATGTGTTTTATATAAAATGGTATGTGTTTTATATAAAATAGTATGTGTGTTATAAAAATGGTATGTGTTTTATATTAAAACGGTATGTGTTTTATATAAAATGTTATGTGTGTTATATAAGTGGTATGCACATGTACAGTGATGTTAATGTCCGATGATAAAGAACCCATGACTGTTTAACCTTATGTCGAGCTAACATCGGTGATCAATACCAATAAATTCATTTCCAGGAACTTTTTAATTGCTTTGGACAATATGTACATATTCCGGCTAATGAATTGACAGTTTCCTTTAGGCTCTGTAACTTTTCATTTACGTGACAGTTGGAAGACGTATGATTCATGTTTGTAAATTCATTAAGCAATACAATGTACATCTGATCATCGTTTAATACTTCCCAAAGTATTTAGCAAAACAATTGATTTGAAATACAGATTCATCTAATTGTATCATAATAACATGTTGAGTAGTAGAAAATAAAAATTTTATTATAAGAAATATTTCAAATCCTAATAGTCTCTTGTGTAAATGCTCGATTGATTAACAGAAAGTATAATTGAACTCTAAGGTCTTTCAGATATTATAAATGAATATCCACTGACATGACTCGGAAACAGAACAACATGTATTTTTTTACAACATTGCTAAGGTTTAACGGATATGTATGT